GGCGGCCCCCCCGCAGGCCCAGCAGCCACGCGCAGGCCCCAGGGGCCACACGCAGGCCCAGCGGCCACGCGGTGCAGGCCGGGGGGCCACGCGCTGGCACGGGCCACACACCAGCCCCGAGCGCGCGAATGTGCCTGGGACCCAGCACCACCTCCTGTTCGCCTGCGCTGGCCAGAGAAAGGAAGGACGGCGACCTCAGCTGGTCCGTGCTGCCAGCCTGCATCAGCGCCAAGCGCGGGACACACCCAGCGCCGGAGAGGCAGCGGGGGCCCGGGCGGCCCGTGCTGCGGAACGCGGAACAGAGCCCCGGCCGTGCAGGCCATCATTGTGATTTTGTATCCTAGAAGTTGGCTGTTTATTTATTAGTTCCAGCATTTGTGCATGTGTATATTTAGAGAATCATGTCTGTGAACAGAGATACTGCATAAAATCTTGTTTTATTTTAAATAATTATGTATTTTATTATTATTATTATTATTTTACTTGCTATAGTCATTAGAGAGAGAGGAAAAGTGAGAAAGCAAGTGGCCAAGACCAGGACTCAAACCATGGTCGGGAATGTGGGAGTCCAACACCTTAACCGCACCATCCGCTGGCCCCTGCATATCATATTTAACAGTACATAAAATTTCATAGTAGGGTGAACCATGAGTTAGCAACTTCCATCCTTTACTTTGTATATTTTTTTAAATCTTGAAGAAAATTAATAATTTTGTCTTAGTGATTTAAATGAAAACAACAAAAAATTATGTATTCAGATTAAAATGAATGCTATAAAATAAAAACAAAAGCTCATAGATTAAAAAAAAAGAAAATTAAGTTGATATGTAAAAATTAGTCTCTAATTTAAAAAGTTATGAGTAGAATGATAAATGTTCTTTTTAGACTTCTTTATGCATTAAAATATTAATTCATTTTTATTTATCTTAAAAAGACTATTTCCTGGGCCAGCAGGTGGTATGGTGGTTAAGGTTCTGGACTCCCACATGGCCAAACACAGTTTGAGTCCTCAACCTGAAGATGTGCTTTCTCACTTTCTCTCTCTCTCTCGCTCTCTCTCTCTCTCTCTTTCTCTCAGGTGAGTTCACATGTCCTGTAGCAAATTATAAATATATATAATAATAAATAATTTTAAATACATAATTATTTTTAGAAAAGAACATTTTACTTTTATTATTTAAAATTTGAGTCAAATAATCATCTTTTCAGATTTTAACTTCTTTTCTTCAGTTTAGAAAACAGTTCTCAGTCTAAAATTTTAATCAATATAAATTTAAAAGTATTATTAGTGGTTATTTTTTCTTACATTTGTACCTAATGTACTTGAAATTTATTTTGACACCTAATTGTATGATAAAGCAGACAAATTCCTGTCTCAGTGGCTTGGTGGACTAAAGATTTATTTTCTATTTATATTACATGTCCAACATGGAGGACGATAGTTCCACAAAGTCATTTGGACCCAAAGTAATGAAGGATGTTCCAACTCATGATCTGGAAGATATGGTATTCCAGGTCTCCATGACTAGAGAAGAAGAGGAAGCAAATGGCATTTAACTGCCTCGGGCTGGAAGAAACATGCATCACTATCCCTCAGAGTCTACTAACTAGTCAGGCTGGAAAATGCAGGGGGATAAATGGGAAATTTGGAGAGCAGTAACTTTCTCTGGTACAGAACCTATCTTTGTACATCTTATAACTATTATTATGATGATTGTATAATATTTAAAAGAATATAACTGGAGATTATTTCACTTTCTCTTTAGAATTTTTCAGTGGCTTCTCATTATAGTTTGAATATAGTTTAAATCCTTAAACCATGACCTACAGAGATCTTCCAGATTTGGATCTTTGCAATCTTACCTCAGGCCACTGGACCGAATTTTACTCTATAGTACTGATACTGCCTTCCCTCTGGGCCTTAAGTACACCAAGCTCACCTTAAGTCCTTTATTTCTGCTGTTCTTGCTCCTTAGAATGCTCTT